GGTATAGACAGGACGGGATGCAAGAAACATTCAGGATGCTAGAGTTGCGAGAGTCATACTTTCAAATCAAAAAGCATAAGACATATACCGTATGTTTGAGCAATCTCTGGATAAAAAAAAGTTCTTAGAGAAAATTTTTGATTTTAGGGCGATATCCCTAAAGAGATCGTACCATAAAAAATTTTGAAGATTTCTATACAAAAAAATTGTAAGCACTCTAACATAAACGCTAGATACTTTTTAAGAGAGCATGCACGTCCTCTACCGAGAATAAAAATTAAAGGGAGGATTTTTGATACTGTTAACCAAAGTACCTACTGGGGTCTTTGGGCATGTTGAATCATTAATTTTTAAGCTACAACTACAGTAATGCATTATAGAAGAGAAGAGATTCAGTAGAATTTGAGTAATTTTTGCGCATTGCTGGTATTCAAAAGCTTTCTTTCTATTTTGCATAAAAGATTTTTTCCATAAAAAAAGTAATAGCAAATGTGTATTAGTTCAATCGCACCACAATTTTATGATCGTCCATTTATTCTATTTTCCATTTTCAGTAAAGATCGCTTGGTTATTGAATGTAATCAGCTGACATCACAATTTGCCAGCTATAATAACGACTTTGAAAGAACAATGGATGTATGTTTCCCAATTTAGACAGCCCTGAGCGTGTTAATATGCTGAAAATATCCTAGGAAATCGATCGTGTTCATCTCGAATTCGCAAAGTATCAAACAAGAGAACAACGACTTCTCGTTGAAAAATATATGCTCAAGTTCGTGTATCCACATCTTGATTGCATTTGCACAGGATTTTTTTGGTAACTTTTACATCAAGGAATTTACAGAATGCAGGAACGGGAGGTGTTCGAGATTAACAATCTTCCGGCTGACAGTACAGCTGATGCTAAAAAATTCTTCGAGAAGGATATTGCCCTTGCTATCAGGTAAGTAAAATTGAAAATTATTGGAACAGGCTTCAAAAGGGATGAGGGAGGCGAGGTATAGACAGGACAGGATGCAAGAAACATTCAGGATGCTAGAGTTGCGAGAGTCGTACTTTCAAATCAAGAAGCATAAGACGTATACCGTATGTTTGAGCTATCTCTGGATAAAAAAAAGTTCTTGGAAAAAATCTTTGATTTTAGGGCGATATCCCTAAAGAGATCGTACCATCAAAAATTTTGAAGATTTCTATACAAAAAAA